AAAGTTGGTGGGGGAACAGGAAAGACAAAACTTTTTCCTTTTTTGGGGGGGTACTGGGGATTGAACCCTTTTTATCTTGAGATAGGGTCTTGCTAAGTTGCTTAGGCCTCACTAAATTGCTGACGCTGGCCTTGAACTTGTTATCCTTTTGCCTCAGCCTCTCGGGTGTCTGGGATTACAGGCATGCACCACCACAACCAACAAAAATTAATTTCTACAGGGGGAAATTTTATTGATTGAAAAAAAAAACCACTTGTTTTCAGGCTGGGGTTGGGGCTCAGTGGTAGCGTGCTTGCCTAGCATGCGTGAGGCACTGGGTTCAATTCTTAGCACCACATATAAACAAATAAATGAATAAAGGTCCATCAATAACTAATAAAAAATTAAAAAAAAAACACTTGTTTTCCACTTCAAGAAAATGTTTCAAGAAAGAGTGAAAGTAAAGGACTAATTTAAGATACTGCAGTGAAATTAGACTGATTGATTGGGAATGAGGAACATTCATTCCTTCAAAAGGGTAAGGAGCACTTGCTGTATGCCCAGTGTATTGTTTTCCTATTTATGCTATAACAAATCACCCAAAATTTAATGGATTAAAACAACACAAATCTATTCTCTTATAGTTCTAGAAATCAGAAGTCTAAAAGCATGGTATAGGCAGGGCTGAATTCTTTTTGGTAACTTCTAGAGAGAATGTTTCTTTGCTCTTTTAGTTTCTAGAGGTTGCCTGAGTTCCTTGGCTTATGGCTTTTCTTCACATCACTCCAACTTCTTGCTTCCATCTTATTACTAACTTGGATCATCTTGCCTCTCTCTTATAAGTATCTTTGTAATTATATTGGTTTGGACCACCTAATAATTCAGGTTAACCTCCTCATATCAAAGTCCTTAATTTTCATTACATCTGCAAAGCACTTTTAACCATGCAAAGTAACATCCACAGGCTTCAGGGATTGGGATGTGAACATCTTTGGGCCTACCATAGCCAGTTAGACTAGCTATGGAGAAGGCAAGTCCCCCAGGTCCTAGATCTAATGCAATCTCCGACATGCTCAGATTTGTGTGAATTACCCTACTTCTTTGGATGTGAGCCTTTTAACTGTTGGCTTTTGTGTGAGATGACCAATTTTGGTTCAATCATCTCTGTCCAGGAATGGACAGGGATGGAAGAGATGAAGTGGTAACAACTAGCATGACTAAAGCCCCACTCAGGTTGCTTTCTTCCTGGAGAAACTGAGTAAGAATACTTAGAAAGCATTTTGGACATAGGAGGCAAACAAAATGACCAAAAGTATGAGTTGTACAGGCAACCTCACAGATTCTAGTTCTGATGCTGCTGTAGGCCTTGAACAACTATCTTAACCAATGGGCCTGTTTTCACTTGTGCCAAATGGAGCTTATAGTGTCATCTTCATATGGTTGTCATGAGAACTAAGTCTAAGGTAGTATATATAAAAGGCTTAGTAATGGACCTGATATAGAGCAAGGGCTTGATGAATGTTGCTGCCTTTTATTATCTGAAGGCTTAACTGGTCCTAAGCATGTTTCCTGGCTTGTCCTCATTTGGGTTCCCTAGGGGACCCAAGTAGCCAAGTGCTCTACCACTGAGTTACAGCCCTACCCCTTTTTATTTTGAGACAGGGTTTTGCAAAGATGCCCTTGAACTTGCAATTCTCCTGCTTCTTCCTCCCAAGTAGCTGGGATCACAGGCATGCATCATTGTCTGGCTGCTCAGTCCATCTTTGAGGACTGGAGGACAAGACATTGGCACATTCTGCGTCAAGATACAGGGGGCTCTGTTTGACCATGTTCATTATTATCCAGTCAGCAGATATGACTGAGAAGAATGAATGGCCAGAGTATTGACATAGCCAACAGCCTTGTGAACACCATTGTTGGCTTTACCCCTATGACCATTCCTGTTTGCAGAACTGCAGGGAGGGGAACGAATTTAACCAGAGGTTGTTTTGGAAAGTAGAAGAGGAAAAGATAGGACAAAGAGGAAAAAAACTGTTACCAGGACCCTGGTACACATGCCAGGCTCATCTAAAGCAGGGATAAATATGTTCCCTTCTGGGGCTGGGGATATGGCTCAAGCGGTGGCGTGCTCGCCTGGCATGCGTGCGGCCCGGGTTCGATCCTCAGCACCGCATGCCAACGGAGATGTTGTGTCCGCCGAGAACTAGAGAGATAAATATTGAGAATTCTCTCTCTCTCTCTCCCCTCTCTCACTCTCTCTTTGAAAAAAAAAAAATATGTTCCCTTCTGCCTCCCGGCTAAGCACTTGAAAGATCTAAAAAAGTAACTGCTTACTGGAAGAGTTTTTTTATTTGGGGGCTGAAGTGATTATTTCCATGTGATTCTAATTTTCAAAATTTCAGCAATTCTTAGAATGGATTTTTTTATCATGTGAGAAATGACTAAAATAAGAAGACCCATCATTTCCATGTGTGCTTTATGAAAGCACCTTCATTACAACATGGCAGTATTTTGGAAAGCAAGTGGGGTATGGTGGCCCAGCCCTGTAATTTGTGTTTTTTTTTTCCATTCTACATTTTTTATTGGTATGGGAAGCCCTGCCCAGTGACTCAGGAGGCTGAGGCAGGAAACTTGCAAGTTTGAGGCCAGCCTCAGCAGTTTAGTCAGAACCTGTCTCAAAAAAAAAAAAAAAAAAAATTAAAAAACAGTGGGCAGTGTAGCTCAGTGGTAAAGCATCCCTGCGTTCAATCTCCAATATCACAAAAAATAAACAAACTTCAGAAAGCAATGTTGGGTAAAAAGTGGTTCTGCAAATGTTCTTCAAACTCTAGCCATTGGCTATGATGAGTACAGCTTGACCAGCCCAGTTACATTGTTCCGGTTTTTTAAATTACATAACACTCATTTATCATAAATGAAGTTAAGAAGTGGGATGGAGGGCTGGGGATGTGGCTCAAGCGGTAGCGCACTCACCTTGCATGCGTGCGGCCCGGGTTCGATCCTCAGCACCACATACCAACAAAGATGTTGTGTCTGCCGAGAACTGAAAAATAAATATTAAAAAAATTCTCTCTCTCTCCCTCCCCCCCTCCTCTTTCTAAAAAAAAAAAAAAGAAGTGGGATGGAAGGAGTAGTGAGGGGAGGGGAAAGACATTTAAAGCTTGGGATGGTCAGCTTTTGAGGCTGGAATGCTCATACCCCAGTGCACCTTAACAATATAAAAAATAATGGAGGCTCTGTGAATTTATCAAGATGATCAATGTATTTAGGGAGTATGAAGTGACTGGACAGAGCAGGGACTTCACTAAACCCTACTCATTTCAAGGACAACAATCCGATGACTTCAAGTCATTCAATTTGTTCCATTCCATGAAGTAAAATCAACTGAACTCACAGAAATCTCCTTTTAGAGTGCAAACTGGAGAGTTAGAAAACTCCCTGGAGAGGAAGGTCAGTCTCAAGCTGAGTCTTATTAACTAAAATTTACTTAAAAATACATAATGGCTACTTTCTACTTTCCATAAAACTCAAAAGTAATACAAATATGTAACAACAAATCCTGCCATTATGTACAAATATAATGCACTGATAAAAATGTGGTTTAGAAAAAAACTCAAAATGAATTAGGGACACAATTACTACTTTCCATAAAACTAAAAAATAGGAGTTGAAGTTGTGAAAATCTAATGTGTTTTAAGACACATTTTTTTAGAGAGAGACAGAGAATTTTAATATTTATTTTTTAGTTTTTGGCGAACACAACATCTTTGTTTGTATGTGGTGCTGAGGATCGAACCCAGTCCGCACACATGCCAGGAGAGCGCACTACTACTTGAGCCACATTCCCAGCCCCTGTTTTAAGATACATTTAAAAAAAATATCACATGAAAGTTTATTCAGCAGTGAATAAGTTTTTACTCCTACCAATTTCCCCTCAATTCTTAAAGGCCTGTAAGGGGCTGGGGGTATAACTCAGTGGTAGAAGCTTACCTAGCTTGTGCTAGGCTCTGAGTTCAATCCCTAGCCCTGAGGAAAAAGCAGCAACAAACATGCTGAGAAATTTAAAGTCCTGGAAAGGAAAAGAACCCAGGTCAGTGCATTCTCTGGTTTATTCTCTAAATTTAATGTTTCTTTAATACCAAATAGAAGATTCATTAGTATATAAACCCAATAGCTTTTGTTGGCTATAAAAGACTGTATTTGTAGTTTCAGTTCTCTAGAACAATTTACCAGAACAAAACAGTCAACCACTAAGAAATATGTGAGGATAGGGAGATGGAGGGAAGGAGAGAGGGAGGATGGAGAAGGAGGGAGAGAGGGGGAGAGGGACGGAGGGAAGAAGCGGGGAGAGGGGAGAACGAGAACAACCTTACCTTTTACATATCAGCACTAACGATTTTCCCAATGACCTTCAGCAAGTACGTTTTTCAAATATCATGAAAATGTTTATGATCCACTCATGACACCACATAACCAGTATGGTATTAATATTCTCAGGACCCAAATAGAATGAATATTGTAAAATACATATATGTAAGTGATGCTCAGTTTACTAAGCCTTCTGAACCTCATCACTTTAGAGAGGACCCATTCCCCTGGTGATTTTTTTTAATATTTAATTTTTTAGTTGTAGTTGGACACGATACCTTTATTTTATTTATTTACTTTTATGTGGTGCTGAGGATTGAACCCAGGGCCTCATATGTGCAAAGTGAGTGCTCTACCTCTGAGCCACAACCCCAGCCCTCCCTGGTGATTTTTAATGGTGATTCTAAGGTTTTTATCTTACCAGCCTGATAAAATGGTTTCTGGGTCACGTCCAAAACCCAGAGTTCTCTTTGGCTCCAGTATTGACATGAATCTGTGCTTCTGAACATCCAATCTCTCCTCCTCTTCCTCCCTATCCCCCACCATCTGTTTGTTTTCATTTAGTGAATATGATTTTTTAAATATAAAAGAAACACAGGTAAGATAGTCTAAAACCAATATGTCAAAATAAAAAATTACCACACAGACAGTAGTTAACAGTTTTCATAATTTAATGAAAAAGTATTGGTAAAAAGGTGACATTTGAAAAAAGACTGAGTTTATCTTGAAAACTGGACTATATAAGACAAAATGAAAAAATTAACAAAGGTTAAGAGGTAATACTTGAAACAACAACAAAATGTAGCAAATGCATTTTGGGGCAATTGAAATGTATACAACTGAAGGCTCCTTCATTTATCTAGGAAAATCCTGTAAAAATATTACCACTATTATTTCCCTGACTGGAATGATATTTTACTCCATACTCTCCCTATGGCATTACATATGGAATTTGGCTGAAGCACTATTTTGATGTTTGCTTTTCCTTCCACTCATTCAGAATGGAAAGGTAGGAAAGGACACAGGCCTCTAACATAAGGAGTTTACAACACAGCTCTATTATAATTTTGTTACCATGAAAGTGTCAAATTAACGTCCACCCCAGGAGAACTCAAAGAAAAAGCACAGAAGCCCAGTGCATGAATAAGGGAAATTCTCTTCCTCATTTTTCCATTCAAACAAAATATAGGACACCTACCACATATGTTATGGCATGTTCACACATGTACATAGGCACAAAAGAAACATTTAGAAGATGTAGGCAAAGGAGAGGCAAAATACAGAAGTTTTCAGAAAAAGCGAAAACAAAAGGCAGAGGAACCAATTAACAAGGCTTTAAGAACAAAAGTGGGGGAAAGGAAAACTGCTGAGTCTTCCATATTGATGGAGAGAGGGCCCCTGCCTCCACCGACTGGCACCTACTGCAGCTGGACTGTTTCACCAGTAAGAAACTTTAAAAATTGAAAATGGCCACTTTTGTCTGAAACTTCCCACTATACTTTCCCAAACTAGAAGAAAGAGAATATCAATTTAAGGCTAAGAAGAAAAGAGAGCTGAGAATTAGTCTGCTTCACATTTTAAAAATGGCATCTTCCCCCTTTCTTAAATGGGAAGCAGACATGTTTTATCCCCTCCTCCCAAAATGTAACTATTCTCTTCCTCCAGAAATTAATCAAGGCTGAGTTTGGGAACAGGGTAGAAGCAACTTCTGAAAAAACAACTCCAGCCTTTTTGTTTGGAAAATTGTCTTGGATTCAAAATTGATAGAAAGCTAAATTATATCCATGTGTTAAACACATGCTTTCAAATTCTGTTGACAATAAAAATCTGTTTCAAAATTAAAGCAGGTAAGAATACTTAACCTCTGTGCATTTTATTATATTTTAATTATACCTCAATAAAAATTTTTATAAACATTAAAGCAGGTATACAAAAACTGTCAGCCAAACTTATTTTAGTCAAACTTATTTGAAAACAACACAAAACCCTGACCTGGTACAAATATCCCAGAAATGGTCTCACTTTGGGAAAGGCTCTGGGATCCTTCACAAATGCCTAAACAGAGAGAAATCAGAGCATTTTTTTCTTGGAAGTAGTACTTCTGTACTTTTGTAAACACTATCCACAAGTTAGCTTTTTTTATGCTTGTTAGCTGGGTGAAGAGAATTATAAGTGCGTCCCCAACAAGCACGTCTAGGAACAGGCACTGGACATTTGTAAGCATTAGGAGAATCGACTCAGTAAGTTATGATACTGTGAAAAGAACTCAACCTTGCACAAAGCAAAGGAAGAGGGTAGTGAGTCTGACAGTATCTGAGAATGTTGGTTTCCTGGTCTCTCCCCTGAAGAGGGTTTAGAGACATTAGCAGAGTTAGAAACTTTCTACAGGCAGGAGCTCTGAAACGCACATGCTGTAGTTTGGAAAGATAAGTAGTTTTAGTGTCTGATAATCATGGTCTCTTGAAAATCCATTAACAATGCAAAGACTTAGTATATAGACTCATCAACATGTTAATGTATCTGGAAAGCTGCCCTCAAGTATTTACTGAGCAAATACTCTGGACCCACTGTTCCCAATAGCTTCTGACAAACAAACCTCTGGACAACCTGAAATTCTTGAAATGTGCTTGTATAAACTAGAGTTGAAACCTTTTCCAAAACTGCAAGTCAATTTGTTGTGGAAAAAATTCTTAAATTTTCCCTGCAATTCCTCCTAATATTATGCTAGAACCCTTTTGGTGTATGGATTTCCCCCCAAATATGGGGCAAAGGCAATGTTTGGGTTAAACTTGATAGTTTCTCATCACCTTTGCATTGAACTATGGGAGAGAGGATGTGCCTTGCTTTTACCATGGCTATCCCGTCTAGAATCATGGGGAGGATTTTCCCTGTCTGAACTATCTCTTCTTACCCTGGCCTTTTCTTTATTTCCATCACTTTCTGCTTCAGAATCACTAAGCTCTAGATCTGGGCAATATCCATCATTTTCCTGATATGAAGCTCTCCCTGCAGATCGCCTGAGAAGCTGCCTACCCCAAAACTGCTCCTTTGGGCTCACATTCTTGGTTGGCTTCACACAACATTGGAGATCTTCAGTGGTCCTCACCCATCTATTGGTGGCCTCTTTAAAGGACCTGCCAAAGTGTTCCATAGTGGACTTTCTAATGCTACCCTGACTGGCCAAGTGGGAGCTAAGCATGGATTCCTCACTTGAGCTATCTTTTTGGGTGACATTCCCAGACTTGCCACCCTCTACACCATTGGATTTGGCAAACTTAGAGTTAGTCTGACTTTTCCCATTCCCAACAGAAGACTGTTCATGAAGGGCAGCCTGAAGGGCCAGAGGTTTCCCCAGTGACTGCCCATGATAGAACTCTGCAGAGGGAGCTCTCCAAGCAGGACTGGAATCTTTTGCTTCACTCCGAGAATGGCTGAGACTGGCCAGCAAACAGTTACTCTTGCTCTCTAGTGGATGTCTTGGATAGGTTTTCACTTTCATTTCTAGTGGCTCCTGAGGCACCTGCATGCTCTTTTTACTGTGAATGGGGGAGCCACTGCCAGGAGAGCAGGGTCGGTGATCAGCCTCTGTGGAGCTGTTTTTGCAGTCTTCCGGGGTTGATCTGGGCATTTTTAACTTTAAGGTAATTCTTGGCGGTGGGTAAAACAATGAGTTTTCTAGTGCATTTGTCAAAGGAAGTCCTGAGATTAAAAAGAAAGATTCATTTTAGCATCTGATTTAAATAAACAACATACATGCTTATGGTAGAATAAGTTCACCTACCCATTCTTCCACAGGTCTAATGAGCACTTGTCTTTGATATGTAAGAACATCATTGTGTAGCAGCTAACGTGAGCTGAACTAGAAGATGGGATCCAGAATGCTACAGATGAAAGGCTCAGAAATGCTACTGTTTCATGGCTCCCAATATTTTCACCTTTGTTTTCCCAATCTGTAAAATTACCACAAAGACTAGTGTACTGCCTCCTACATCCTCATCTCTGCCCCTTTTATTTCTGAAAAGAATGTCACTAGCAATGACTAGGAACAGGCTTTCCCTGTGTGTGCATGCACAGTACTTAGGATGTACCTCAGATAGACATTTCAAATGCTTTCCTCCCTTCTCTCCTGGTCCTCCTAAAGCAAGTCAACTACAAATCCTCAGAAGCTTAGCATAGATTTTGGTGTGTGAAGAATAAGTATATATTTCAGCCTGACATTAGAAGTCATGGTGGTTCCTGCAAATTTTATGTCTTTAACCTGTAATAATTTCCTAACTATGAATGAACATTATGGAGATATGGGGGAGGTTGTGTAGTATAGATAAGGTCAGCAGGAAAGAATCACAACATTTCTGCCACTGACTGGTTATAGGCAATGGCCTGGGGAGTTTTGGTAGTCAGTTACCTGATTAAGTCATCCTATGATTGCAGTTAGAACTGGTCTTCTCTATTATTTTGAGTGCTCTTAAATAAAAAAGAACACTACCAAACAATTCCTATTTGCATATGGATTTAACCTTTACCCACAGTCATCCTCATGAGATACAGAGAGGACAGCTCTTGGGTGCCCCAATGGGTCTAGGTTGAATAGCCACAGCTCCCATCCCTTCTAGGGCCTGACACCTGTTGATGCTGCAAGTCATAATGAGGTTGATTCCTATAATCAGAAGCCTTGTGGCTGGGGCCAATTCATTGGCATGCAGGGGCTCTTTCCTATTGTGTTTTGGTTCTTGTCTTGCCAGTCATGCTGCCCTGTGGCTGAGTAGACTTGCTGTCTCCTGCTACACAACTCTGTGACCCAATAATACTCAGCAATACCCCAGAGCCTTTGATGCCTACTTGACACCTCATTTCTGAGTGATTCTCTTGGTTTATGGCTTGCCTTGGCAGTAGCTAATTCTGCATATCCTGCCCAGTGACCACCTAACTCTCAGGCTCTGCCACCTAACTCTGTTTTAAATAAGGTGAAGGGAGGTTATAGATTTCACTGAATATGACTGTCATCATTCCAGCCAAATTCCCATGTTTTGGGCACTGTAATTATGCTCACCTGTATCTTACCAAGCGGGATGTGTACCCAGCTGAAAGGGATTCTATCTTGCTGACTGCTTTTCTTCTAGATCAGTTCCTAGACCTAATAGGTGCTCAATATTTTTTAATAAATGAAAACAAGATCTCTTAATTTCTAGCTAAGGATTTGTTTTAATAGACTACTATAAAGTAACCCTGGAATTAAATGTTTTCTAGAAATAAATTCAATCCTATCAATTTCTAAATGAATTTGATAATCACAGGATAATTTCATGGCTACACCTAATGGCTTCAAATGCCTGTCTTGGATCTAGATGATCTGCCAGAGACTTGAAACACCCCCAACCCTACCCTGGAATTGCTTGCCTCATGGGCTGACAGGGAAATGAGTCATGTTAATATCAGGACTGGACTGAAGCAAATGAGATATCTGACAAGAATTTTAAAAGATCTTTTAAGTGGAAAAACTGGCATAAAGTTTAAATTAGGATAAAATAGGATGTAACAGAATCTGTATATTTGCCAGGATAATTTAATATACTAATTACCTGCAGCAATTTCTTGGTTAACAAGCTGGACTTGTAAACCGAAGATCTGTTCTTGTATTTTGTTGTGTGACAGTTTCAGCTTCTCTCGTCTGCTTATCATGTAGCACAGATTTCGGACCTGAAAGCCAAATTCCCAGCATTTAGAGTTGTTTGTCACGTTAAGCAAACCCAGAAAATGAAATTGTTTAGTGAAAATGAAGACTACTAAGGTCAGGTGGGGTGGGAGTAAGGAGCGAAGATAGGACCCAAGAGCCAAAGGCTAACAGCCACTCCCCAGGAATTCACACAGTACAGTCAAGTTTAGTGGCGTGATTCCCATATCAATCAGCAGCATAAGCAAAGCACCTTCTGAAATTTACTCTTCCTGCAGTGTCATGGGCTTGATATTTATGTACATATCAAGGCTGGGAAGATGGTTTAACAATTCAGCTTTCCCTTTAGGTCCCTGAATACAAAGGATGGCAGTGCTGGCTCCACTACAATTTTCTACCAAGTGCTGGACCAGCAAGGAGAAAGGTATGCTTGGAAGACTGGAAATGGCTTTTTCTGGTCCACATTTTCAACTTAGCCAAGTTTCCATAGCCACAAAGGTAAAATTCTCACTGTCTCATACTCCTCACTTGGGCAAGTTACCCAAACTTTCTGGGCCTCAATTTATTCACATACAAACAGGAATGATAATAATAGATTTTTTCCCATAAGCATGTTAGAATTATATGAATTAATATTTATAAAATGCTTAGAACAGTGTTGGTAATAATAGTACTAATGATAGGTGCTATATACATGTCTCTTAAGTTTTAAAGTGAGTCAAATCTAATAGTTTCTTTTCAAATTTTGGTATCAGAGGGGGGAAATCAAGCCATTTCTATAATTATATTCAATTATAAAATTCTCTAGGGTAAACATAGTACTTAACCTTTCTCTGAACCCCTGAAGCACCTAATTTAGAAGATACCTGATAGATATATCATGAGTTAAATTATCTGGTAGAGTGGCTCTCAACCAGGGGCAATTTTGACTCCCAGAAGAAACATGGTAATTTGGAGACATTTTTTGGTTGTCACAACTAGATGTGTATGAGCAGTGCTACTGGTATCTACTGGGTAGAGGCCAGTGATAATGGTACATATCTTAATGCCTATGCTGGGCACAGTAGTACACAAATGTAATCCCAGTGATTCAGGAGGCTGAGGCAGGGAGATTCCAAGTTCATGGTCAGCCCTAGTCACTTAGTGAGGCCCTAAGGAATTTAGTGAAATTATCTCAAAATGAAAAATAAAAAAGGGCTGGGGATATAGGTCAGTGACAGAGCACCCCTGAGCACAATCCTCATCACCGAAACAAAGAAAACAAAATCTTCCCTAAAACAAAGGGAAGCCTGCTACAACAAACAACTATCCAGCCCAAAATGTTAATAGTGACGAGATGGGGCATGAGGGCACATGCCTGTAATCCCAGAAACTGGGAGGCTGAGGCAGGAGGATTCCAAGTTCCAGGTCAGCCTCAACAACTTTGTGAGACTCTATCTCAAAATTAAAAAATAAAATGAAATAAAAAGGGTTGGGATGTAGCTCAGTGGTAAAGTGGGTTCAATCCTCAATACCATAAAAACAAACAAACAAAATAAAACAAAACAAAAAAACCTACCACCATCCCAACAAAAAAGCAAAATATCAAGAGTGCCAAGTTTGGGGGCTGGGGTTGTGTCTCAGTGGTAGAGCGCTTGCCTAGCATGGTGAGGCACTGGGTTTGATCCTCAGCGCCACATATAAATAAATAAAGTCCATTAATAACTAAAAAATATTTTTAAAAAAGAGTGCTAAGCTTTAGAAACCCTGATCTAGAGTTTTCCTGAACAAAATTCACTTTTTTTCTGGCCTGAAGTCTCATAAATGTGTCAATAAAGTATAGCTGAGCCAGTTTAGGCTCCCCAGTGAATAAAAAGTAAACAAAATGAGAATTTATTTCAAATTTCAAATTCACTGAACATATGTGTCGAGGCCTCTCTAATCCCTTGAATGTGCCTGTCAAAATTTAAACAGAGCCCAACATCTGGGACCATAGTAAAATCAGAAAATAAAGGACATGCAGAAGACTACACCATACTGAGCTGGCCATCTTTAAACTAGAAGAGGGACCTCTATCTCTATGCAGAACTGAGATTTGCACACTAATCAGAGGTGATAAACTTACCCTCTCTAGGTCTTGCCGCAGGTGCATGAACATTCTCATGCGAGTGTGAATGCTTTCCTCTTTTGGCTGTACTAGGCCATTTTCTTCTTCTTCTTTCGGAGGAAATAATGGCTTATTGAAGTTGCTTTTGCGTTTCAGTTTCCAGTAGTTATAGATAAAGTCCACGGTTAATATGGGCATCCCAAGCTCGGCAGCCACATCTTCCACTTGTACCAAAGTATAGAACTCCTCTTCCAGCGCCCTAAGCTTCTGTGCCCGCAGGCTGGTTTTCTCACTTTTGGCCTGGCTCTGCTCGGCAGCTCTGTGGTAGGGGTACTCGACTTCCCCAAGTTTCTGCCTGTTTTGGCTATGCTTGAGGCAGTATGACTTGAACTTAACTTCGTCCCCCTCATCTAGGATGGTCTTCATCTCTAGGCCGTGCTCAAAGGCACAGGTGACATGGAAGGCAGTGATGCAGCTTTTCACGGAGCACTATAGGAAGAAAGGATGTGTTAAAGCATCAGGGTAAGTGCGAAAGGGAGATCACTGAGTCTCTTGGCCTAAACTGAGAGCTTTTAGGAAGCAAAGTAAAGATAGGGAGCTATGGGGAAGACTGTTCCTAAACTGACCATGATACATGCTTTAGAAGTTACCTAGAAAATTTGCTCCTACAGAATATAGCAAATCAGAATTGTTTAACTCTCCCTTTAAGGTTTTAGCTTAAGTATTCAAGCCTTCAGTTATCTTTTCTTTCTTTTTTTGTTTTTGGTACTGGGGATTTAACCCAGGGGCATTTTACCAATAAGCTACATCCCAATCCCTTTTTACTTTTTTGAGACAGGTTCCCACTAAGTTGATAAGGGCCTCTTTACATTGCTGGGGCTGGCCTCCAACTGGCAATCCTTCTACCTTAGCCTCCCAAGTCACTGGGATTATAGGAGTGTGCTACTGTGCTCAGCTTTTTTTTCTTCTTCTTCAGCTACTGGGGATTGGACCTAGCTTCTTGCTAGATAAGTGCTCTACTACTGAGCTATATCCTTGAACCGTTTTTATTTTTATTTTGAGACAGGGTCTCTCAGGCTGGCTTTGAACTTGTGATCTTTCTGCTTCAGCCTCCCAAGTAGCTGGGATTATAGTACAAGTCTGTGCCACCACACCTAGCTAAACCTTCAGTTTTTCTGAGAAGCCTTTAGCAACTTATAGAAACACTTATGAGGTCTCTTCTCTGGGTCTCCCATAACACCCTATATATCCTTTTATAGTAGTAATTTTCACACTGTAAGTTCTCTAGCCATAGATCCTAAAGACAGAAGCTGTGTCATTAATTTTGGAAATCCTTATCAATTACTGAATAAGCAGTTGATCAGAAAATGCTTTTGAACAAATGAAAATAAAAACAAAGTCAATATTATTGCCAGAACATCCATTGGTTCTATAAAGGTTGTGTGGGGGGGTGTGGCTCAGTGGTAGAGCAGTTCAGGAGGCCCTGGGTTTGAACCCTAGAACTACAAATAATAATAAAAACAAATATTTTAAAAGGCCATAGAAGTTATAATATCTGAGTAACCCAACTTCTAGAAATTATTCATGGTAGAATTGAGCTGTCCAACATAATAGTCAACTAGTCATGAATGTCTATTTAAATCTTAAGTTAATTAAAATTGGGCTAGGAATGTAGTCCAGTGGTAAAGCACTTGCCTAGCACATGCAAGGCCCTGGGCTCAATCCTCAACATCACAAAAATTTTAATTAAAATTATATATAATGAAAAGTGTAGCTCCTTAGTTATACTAGCCACATTCCAATCATATGAAACAGCACAGATATAAAACAATTCCATCAGAAAGCTCTATTAAAAAGTGTGGTTATAGACATTCTGAATGTGTTTATAATATTCTGCCATTCATTCATAGATTTACAACATTTTTTAAACATTACTGTGGAGTATACACTGAATATTCATCAGTGATTAGTAGAAAGGAGGCATAGTAGAAAGAATTTGGTCCATAATAGCTGCATTTCTTGTACTTTCCTTAGATTTAATTGCTATATGTTGTGATTATAATGTTACAGCTTTCCTTCCAAAGATTTAAAATACAGGGGTACACTTATATGTTTAAGTAGAAGAAGAGAGGAAAGCAAGAGAGGAATTATTTCTAAGGAAATATTGGGAATTTTTTTAAGTCTCAAAGTTTTTGGAAGCCTACCTCTGGAGGGCCCGCAGCTCTATGTATCAGGGGTTTGATAATTTGTTAAACAGAGAATGACCATGGATATGAACAAAGACAGAAAGAATGCAAAGTCTGACAGGTTTCCTCAGACACCTAAGAGAATACTGGCAAACATCAAAGCTTTAATGGGGGAAGATCTCATTTAAGCTAATTTCACAGGATAAAGAGTTCCAGGGATGGAATATAATTCCAACATCATCTAATCTAGTCTCTCATTTATTATTGCTTGAACTTCCTCTATAGTACTTGATTTTATATCTTCAACCCACTCCCCTTCACCTTCCAAATAAGTAGTATAATCTAGTCACATATTATACTCTTTCACTGACAAAAAGCTCACAATCTCCTACTACAACCCTCCCCAGCTTTGGCCAGTTGTATCAGAAAATTTTGCTACATCACACTAAAATCTGTATGCTTAAAATTTCCATAGATTTGGCAAGCCTCATGAAAATGAGGATAATGAAAACCCAGAACATACTTTTATCTGAGTACCTTTTATTATCATTTGGCTAAGAAAGTAGCCAGACATTTCAAAAACAAGTAGTAAAGGGCATTTTTTAGCAAAAGATTAAAAGTGTTGGCCATAGTGCTCTTTTGCTGTTTAACAACAGATACAAATATGGGAAGAAAAAACAAAATGATTTTCTGTTTAAGGGGATGAACCTGTGACATACAATAAAAGTCCCATCCACTTAGGAGGCTGAGGCAGGAGGATTGTGAGTTTGAGGCTAGCCTGAGCAACATAAAGAGATCCCCTTCACAAACACTACTACTACTACTACTACAACTACTACTACTACTACTACTACTACTACTACTACTACTACCACCACCACCACCAATAAGAAGCTAAAAAGAGATTCTCTCTCTCAGGTCAAACTTATAGAATGTAGATAATTAATATAGATCACTCAAAATAAAAGACAATACACAGATAAGAATTTGGTACTTATATGAAAAATGGAATGTCTCTTAGGAAACTGCCATAAACTGGGTGCGGTGGCACACGCCTGTTATCCCAGCGACTCAGGAGGCTGAGGTAGGAGGATCGCAAGTTCAAGGCCAGCCTGGGCAACTTAGTGAGGCCCTGTCTCAAAATAAAAAATAAAAAGGGCTAGGGATATAGCTCAGTGGTAGAGCACCTCTGGGTTTAATCCCCAGTACATACATACGTATATATATACATACACATACATACATACATACATAAAATTCATCTTGTTTAAGAAAAGGTCATTCTGTGCTATGTATAACTGGAGGTCTATATACTTTGGTGATAAAGAAGAAATGCCAACTAGGTTTTGGAACCACTCAAATACTTATTTCTTGCTGGGAATGTGGCTCAGTGGTGCAATGCTTGCCTGGCACCCATAAGGTCCTGAGTTAAATTTTCAGCATGACACACACAAAAGTACATTTTTTAATGGTGGTGTACATCAGTCCTAAAGCCTCATGCATGCTAGGCAAATGCTCTACCATTAAGCTACATCTCCAGTCCAAATACCTACTTATTTTTTTCTGAAAAGATAAAGGCATATTCTACTAAACAAAATGCCTTTGAATGTATATCATTATTTTTATTCTAACCATTAAAGATGAGGGGAGGTGTTATTATGCCCATTAAAACCCATGTTTATTCTTAAAATTTTAGAAACACCTCAATTTTTATACCTTTATTTTATTTATTTATTATTTTATGTGGTGCTGAGGATTGAACCCAGTGCCTCTCATGTGCTACACAAGCTTTCCACCAAGTTACAACCCCAGCCCTAATTTTTTTAAAAAAATATTTTAACTGAAATAACTGCTCTCATTGTGTTGAGCAAGTAGCACTCATACAAACATCTTTATACATGTTACTATATGCATATCAGTGTGGTTATCACATCCACTCACTGAAATAACACAATCCCCCAGGTTTACTAAGACATCTTACACATTACAAAACTCACCAATTTTAAATTAACATTTCAATGGTTTTCAGTATATTCATAGGGTTGTACAGCCACCATCACTACCTAATTCCATCTTCATCACCTCCAAAAAGAAATCTTGTACTCATTTTGTAGTCACTCTCTGTTCCCAACCCAAAACCCAAGAAATCACTAATCAATTTTCTATTGTTATAGATTTGCTCATTCTGGACCTTTCATATACGTGGAATCATACAAGATGTAGCTGTTTGTGTTTGGCTTCTTTCATTTGGCATGTTTTTAAGGTTCATCAGTATCATAGCATATGTTAGAATTTCAATTCTGTCAGGCACAGTGGCACACACCTGTAATTCCAGCAGCTCAGGAGGCTGAGTCATGGGGATTGAAAATGCAAAGCCAGCCTCAAGCAACTTAGTGAGACCCTGTCTCAAAAATTAAACAGAACTAGGGATGTACCTCAGTGTTAAAACATTTTGGGTTCAATTCCCAGTACCACTACCATTACCAACAACAAAACAAAACTCAAACACTTCAATCTTGTTTATGGCCAAAATATATTCCATTGTAAGGATATATCCCATTTATTAATCCATTCATTAATTGATAGACATCTGTGTGTTTTTCACTTTTGGCTATTATAAAACAATGCTGCTATGAAAATTCATATAGAAGTTTTTATATGACTATATGTTTTTATTTTTCATGAGTATTGTGCAGTAAAGAATTACCCTTCTCCAAAGAAAGGTTTGGCCCTTTGCCTCCAGCCCCTGAGAGGTAACTTTGAAGCCTTTGGGATGTCTGACCTATCTGACAAGAGCTGTCTTTAATTACCTGGCAGTGTTGGGCCAAGTCAGATAGTCTATGCTAACAGCATGATTTACAGTGCAGGCTTTGGGCCATGTGGCATCAGCCTGACCTCTAGAGGGACCTGGAACTCAGGTCATCCACGTGGATGGTCAGCTGTGTCTACATGGTCAAGCCCCAATGATATTGGCTGAACTTTGCAGGTTGACAATAGCCTGGTATATCACACATTGTTTCTGGAAGAAATAAGCTCTCTCTGATCAGCTCCCCTGGAAGGGTATCAATAGAAGTTATACTCCTGTTCTGTCCTAGACCATGCCCTATGTGCCTTTTTCTTTGGCTAATTCTAAATCTGTTTCCTTTCACTAAAATAAATCATAACTGCACATAATGGCTTTCCGAATTCTGTGAGTACTTATAGTGAATTAATGAATCTAAAGACAGTCTTGGGGAAATTTCAAAATATGGGTACCTACTTAGAAATGGAATCACTGGTTTATGGGGTCACTGTTGTTGACTG